TTTATTAGCTTTTGATTTGAATGATCCGTAAGTAAAGTTTTAAAGATAATAACAGTTTTCTGGACTATCTTATAGTCACAATATTCAGTACTGTAGTATTGTCTTGATTAGATTAAACAAATACATCTCTAAGAAGCACTTCCTCGCAAAATCCCACACTAGCAAGGATCTTTCTCAGCCCACTTTTTATATTTGGTTCATATGGAAGGAAATAGAATAACCAATAAGCAAAGAGAAAGAATATCCAATACTTACAAAAATGATAGTACACTGAACATGCTCTAAGTCTTCTTGTAAAATACTAACCATGATTAAATCTTGCATGGGGCCATCTTCCCTAAGCCTCCTCTGTTGACGGTCTGGCCGGAGAGTCAGTCCTTCTGCGCCCCTTGGATTTTGGGTCAACTGTGGAAAGGAGAAAAAGAGGGACAAATGTCAATAGGGAGAAAAATAAGACATACATAGAAATTTGGATTCTGTTTCGAACTTCAAAAGAATGTGTTTTAATCATTACTTTGTTTGTTTCATTTCCTGTATCAAGTCGATATGAAATATGATAGAAATCGTGCTTTCCAAAGTACGATTAGAGTTACTTTACTCCATTTTTTTTCATATGGTATGATCTTTCTGAGAGTATGTTTGTGTGTGTGACCTAATGTTTATTTTTGGTTCATATGGAAGGGAATAGAATAACCAATAAGCAAAAAGAAAGAATATCCAATACTTGCAAAAATTATAATACACTGAACATGCTCTAAGCCTTCTTGTAAAATACTAACCAGGATTAAATCTTGCAAGGGGCCATCTTCCCTAAGCCTCCTCTGTTGACGGTCTGGCCGGAGAGTCAGTCCTTCTACGCCCCTTGTTTTTTGGGTCATCTGTGGGAAGGGGAAAACGGGGGTCAAATGTCAATAGGGAGAGAAAAACAAGTTCCTCGTAGATATTTGGATTCTGTTTCTAATGTCAAAATATTGTTTTTTAATCATTATTTTGTTAGTTTCATTTCTTGTAGATGTTGATATCGATTCGATTCAAGTCGCACTTTCCAAAGTATGATAAGGGTTACCGTTTTTTTTTTTTTTTAAGTTCATGGTAACCCCATGTTTATCATAGCACTAACAGAAATATCCAACCTGATATTTCGTACGGTCGAATAGTATTATTACCATTCTCATTTATAAGATTTTTTTTGCTTACCCCGTCCAAGTAAACGGAAATCTCTGTCCTTTTTAGTGTTTTTGCCAAGTCCAGGGCAGTTTCCCCCCCTTTGCTGCGGCAGGCAGTGTCGAGACCCGCCTCTGCCACCAGCCACCGGACGGCGTCCAGCTGGCCGTTCAAGACCGCGCAGTGGAGGGCCGTGAAGCCTTTCCGGGTCACAGGCTTCAGGTCGACCTTGCTCTGCTTCAGTGCTCTCAGCATCTCCATATTGCCGCTCTGGGCAGCGTAGTGAACCGCTCGCATCCCTGGAAGAACGGGTTCGTTAACTTGCGCGCTGGAGCCATCTGGCGGGAGGCTGTGATGGCAGGGAAGCACAGAGGGAGGCTAGGAGCGTAATTACCTTGGTCGTTATTCTCGTAAATCAGAGTGTCCACGTCAGTCCCTTTTTCGATCAGTTTTATCACGTTCTTGAAGTCACCGGACGACAAAGCTTCCTTTACACAGGCCTGAAACACGGTATTTTCTTTCTGAATATAGATTTTATTCTTTACATATCTCTCCCATGCATACGCATATGCATATATATATATATATATATATATATATATATATATATATATATATATATATATATATGTATATGTATATGTATATATATATATATATATATATTATATATATATATATATATATATATATATATATTATATATTATTATATATATATATATATATATGTATATATATATATAGTATATATATATATATATTATATATATATATTATATATATATATATATATATATATATATATATATATACATACACACACATATATGTATATACATTGACTTTTTCCCACTCTGATGGCTGTTTTTGGTAAGGAACTTGTCATACGTTGTCATAAATGAAAAATGAGAATTTTGGTTTTACTTCTAACCCTAACAATATCGAGTAATCAAAATAATTATGTATCTTGCTACATCTGGTATTTTAAATCAAACTCACATTGGCTAAACGTGGTTATTACTCTACTCTTATTCGATCTGCCCAGTCTGTGTTTTTTTTTCAATATTTTCAGTAATAACACTGATACAAAATTAATCGAAACCGAAACCAAGAAAAAGAGAAAAGCAATGGCTAAAGTAAAGAGGCGGGGCTTAGCTCGGAAGTTGCCAGCTGGTATATTCATCAAGACTGATCTTGATATACAGTGTGGGTACATAATGATGAGACACTGCTTTTTCAGCAAAAAGCCTTATCATTATCTGCCGAAAATATATCTACGTTCTTACTCACTAGGAAAAGTACATGATGAAAACCACTGAACTTGCTTTATTATCCATTGCGTGTAGTTGTGGCTTGTAGAATACATCTTCGTGTTCTCGTTTTCACCTGGTGTTCAGACATGCAGCAAAATGTTAGATTTCTAATGCAGTGCGTGTCAGCTTTCCCAGGCACGGCTAGATGAACCTGATTTCCTAAATTTGTCTTTGAAATTCCCACCTTCTAATTCTGTCAGGTCTCTGGTCTCTGATGAGCCGTCGTAATACGCAGTGTGTATTTCGTGTGTCTTATATGTGTGTCTTTGTATGTATGTCTGTGTTTATGTGTGTTGGTCTAATTGTGAGTGTTTGTGCCATAAAGTTTATCAAATAGAGACCGTATATAAGGACGTATTACTTATTTATTTTTTCTTATTATTTCTAAGTAAGCGTACTTCAATGCTGAAATATGGTAACGATATTTAAGCATTTCATTATATATCTAAAACATTAACGCATAAAACTCATGCATGTCCCTTTATGCGCAAAAATGTGAAACTAAACGACGTAGTAATTCGACCTTTCAGCTGCCCTTGTGTAACGTCAGGTAAAGAGAAGAGAACGCACTATTTCCTTGAACGTGTGATTATATACAACAAAGCTCGTGAGTTTGTGCGTGTTCTTTTTACATTCCGCCGTCGGAACATGCTAGGAAGCATTGCAAGGGTATCAAAATGAAGAAAAGAAAAGAAAAGAAAAGAAAAAAAAAAGCTATTAGAGAGAGGAATATGCTCCAACCTGCGCATCCATCTCCCTTGGCCCTTCCCTCTCTCGGCCTCTTTCGCGAGTCGCTGCCGGAGTAGGAGGGCGACCGAAGATCACGGGTTGGCCAGCTGCTTCTTGGTAAGGCTGGACGAAAGGGAGAGAAAGAGGACGATGCAGAGAGGAAAAGAAAGAAACCGTAGTGTTTGTTTTTCTGCCGAAAGAAAACAAAAGAAAAACTGATGATTCTCTTTGCTTCTCTTACTACCGATGTTTGTGAAAGGGGTTCTATTTATCTATTTATCTTATGTATATGCATATATATTTATATGTATATGTATACACATATATGTATATGTGCATATACACACATATATCATATATATATATATATATATATATATATATATATATATATATATATATATATATATATATATATATATATATATATAAAGCCAACCTGTGGTTTAAAACCATTTGTTGCTAGGCCTGCTTGCGCTGCTTCCTGAATTCTCCTCCGGCCGATCAAAAATTGCCTTCTAGCTCTTTGTGTGGTCTCCTGGAAGGAAAGAAGGACGTCGGTTGACGAAGAACGAGCCCGCGGGTGGTCACAATTTGTGGGGAATTTGAGAGGATTATGGTTATCGGCGTTACGCTTATTTTCATGCAAAGATAAAAAGTTTTGTCGTTGCTGATGTCAGTCATGTCACGAAAAGTGACTGCATTTCAGGATTATGATAATTAATTCATATTCATTAGTATCAACATCGTTATCATTATCAGCAACAGCACACGTATTTAAAGTATATCTTTACTAGTGCCGTGTGTGTTATCAAATTCGCTTACTATTAAATGGTAGATATGATATATATTTTTTGATGAATATTTCCTTCTCTTACCTCCTGCAAGTAGTTGCTAATATCTGTCCTTTTTAGTGTTTTTGCCAATTCCAGGGCAGTTTCCCCGCCTTTGCTGCGGCAGGCAGTGTCGAGACCCGCCTCTGCCACCAGCCACCGGACGGCGTCCAGCTGGCCGTTCAAGACGGCGCAGTGGAGGGCCGTGAAGCCTTTCCGGGTCACAGGCTTCAGGTCGACCTTGCTCTGCTTCAGTGCTCTCAGCATCTCCATGTTGCCGCTCTGGGCAGCGTAGTGAACCGCTCGCATCCCTGGAAGAACGGGTTCGTTAACTTGCGCGCTGGAGCCATCTGGCGGGAGACTGTGATGGCAGGGAAGCACAGAGGGAGGCTAGGAGCGTAATTACCTTGGTCGTTATTCTCGTAAATCAGTGTGTCCACGTCAGTCCCTTTTTCGATCAGTTTTATCACGTTCTTGAAGTCACCGGACGACAAAGCTTCCTTCACACAGGCCTGAAACACGGTATTTTCTTTCTGAATATAGATTTTATCCTTTACATATTATATGTATACGCATGCATATATATATATATAATATATATATATATATATATATATATATATATATATATATATATATATATATATATATCCATACATGTATATGCATGTGTATATATGTACGTATAATAAACATACAATCACACACACACACACACACACACACACACACACACACACACACACACACACACACACATATATATATATATATATATATATACATACATATACAGTCACCGGATGCCAAAGCTTCATGCACACAGGCCTGAAATAAACAGCTATATAGCTAGCAAGTTTTATGTATTTCTGGTCCTTTAGTAATGTACACGGATAACTAACTAGCTAATTAAAGAATTACTTTACTACTGAGTTATATAGCTAGTTCGCACCTACTGT